ACATGAATTTCCTGGAAACTAGTCTCCTTGTTTCATCCTTAATTTTTGCAAAAATTTGGGAGCTTGATTTAGCTAGTGAACGCAACCAGGCCCCATGATTTGTTCAATTCATTTCGGTGGTAAATTGGTAATGACATTTCAAATTCACCATTAGCTTTCTTCGAAGCAGTCTCCAAAAGTGGAAACTATCGACAGCCTTGCCAGCACTCGTTACAGCTCAGACTACTTCGAAGTTAGAGAGTGAGTTATGATTGGATTTTTATTTTAGCCAGCCTATAGTTCATTCGTTCTTCCCCTGTTTTGAACGATCCTCCTTTGCTGTTCGTGGAAAATTTTGCAGGCGAACCCCCAGTTTGGTGAAAATGGATCAAAATGAATTGAAATTCTCCGTCTTCAAGAATTCAAGATGCTTTGACGTGCTTTGGTGCCTATTCCACCTTGGACTGGGTGGGTTATTGTAAACTTAGGAATCGGTGCCTATACAATTAGTATGGATACGCACTCTGTGTGTATTTGTTGATTTCTACTCGTTTCGCATTTTTGATTTCATGGGTACTCGCAATGCTTCTTGACTCCACAGATGAAGGGGTTTTTGTTTTTTTCTAGCTTTTTTTTCTTCTTTTTGGGGAAGATGAGGAAGAGGCACTGAGCTAAGACTTCAGTTCATTAAAACCGAACTATGTATTGTAGCCCATTTGTACGAAGCTCGAGATGAAGTTGCAGAAATGACAATCTTAAAAGAGTGCGACTTCTGATTTCAATTAGTTTTTGCTCTTTTAAAGTGAAAATATGTTCAGCCTCACAGACACAAAATTCCTCGCAAAAAATTCTTCAGTACTACGAAGCTGAAAGCAGCTGCTCAGGGATATCATTTGTGGTCACTAATTAGAAAAGTTGAAGAGCAAGCGCTCGCTGTGGTGAAGTGAGTTGGAACACTGTATATTAAGTGTAAATTTTTTTTGAGTTCCAACAAACCTGGGCTATAACAATCAGGGAATAAGACAGTACTGGATTCAGTGCTCGAATAAGATTTAAAGCCTTCCAGAATAGATATGCGAGATTCTATGTCGAGGACCATACTTTCATAGCGTCTGTTTATTTTCTCCGCAGCCGAGGTGCACTTTGCTTCCAGCTAAAAGCATTTTTGGAGGCATTTCTGATAAGTTAATGGCTTTTGGCGGCAGGGAAGCCTTTCTGTGTTCTCTGTGCTTGTAGACCGGTTTCGTGGGCGATGACGTTCTGCCATTACGACCTAATAAGTTTCGTGGTTTTAACTGTGGTACCGAATTTATAATAAACTCATAAAATCACGTTTTCCCTGACAATTTTTTGTAAATTATCAAAACTTCCTCTATTTTCACTTTGTTTGAAAAGCGGAGGCGTTCGGACGATAATTCAATTTCCCAGTAACAAAAATTTTGCTAAATGCTAAAGAAAAAATCGATCTATGGACTTCTGGAAGCAGCATGTTTTCGGTTTCAAAATTACTTAATTGGGCATAATAAGCTTTTCACTGTCATTCCAAATGAATATACTGAGAGTCAGATAAGCTGCATGATTCATTGACTGTCATCAAAGAAGCGAAGGCAACATGTTATTCAAGATTTATGCATCATTGCGCTAGTTCTAGATGCAGTGAGGCGGTAAAAGATCCAAGAAAACAACTCCTGTCAGCTTTTGATGAATGAGCACGCATATGAAATATTTACTTTTTTTTTTAATATTTTTAATAATTCATTACTACTGTTGTTATTATTATTATTATCATCATTATTATTACTGCTATTAGTGTTATTATTATTTTTAAAAATTGATAAGTTTTTATATGCCCACTTTGAGTTTGGTAATGGTTTGTTTAGGTGGCCAATTTCATTTTTTTTTTTTTTGAATTAGAATCGTTTTCAGATAAGTACCGATAAATGGGTACTGCAGTATAGTAATCCTATTATTTCAAAACTTTGATCAGCTGTTATTTCTTCGCCACTTTCCTTCTCGCCACGATGTTGCTTGTAACTCATCATTTCTCTTTTGTTTTGATTCTTTCTCAATAGCATAATTGTTTATAAGCCGTTCAAGCGAATCCTGCCACCGCACGAAGGGTCTTTCCTATGTTCTTTTAGCATCGCTGAAATATTATTCACTTATCGGCTTTATCCATTTGTTGTTTCTTATTCTTGTCACATGACTAGCCCACTGTCCCTGCTTGCATTATCTTCGATAATAAAATTCATACCGGATGAAATTGCGGGATTTCACTGGAAATGTGCTTAAATTTGTTGATACTTACTAAGCGTTGTTACGATAGGTGAGAGAAGAAGAATGTTAGCAGTTATTTTTATTAGTCATTAATTCATCGCAAACTTTTCTCCTCAACAGATTTGTTTCTGACTGTCAAAGCGCTTAGATTTACTGCTGCGAGCTTTAGTGGAATTTTCTGCCCGGGTTTTCAATTTGCTTCAAAAAAAAAACCCAATTCTCACCTCTCCTATTCAACATCTCACATACATGTGCAATTTTTGGTCATTCCCCCATCAACAGTTTGACTTAATTACATTTAGCATGCTTCATTTTATTTCAGTGCGGATAATAGGCACTTCGACCTATGGTAACACCATACCACAGTAAAAAATTTCGTTTTTCGCCTGCTGTCGCGCAGTGAATTCGATCTCCTTTAAAAAGCTACTAACATTGATAAGATCCGCTATATCGTCATGTGTGTATTCCTGGATAGTGCTTGCAACACTTAGCATCCGATTTGTCCAGTCTTTTTGTGTTATTTGGAACTCAGCTTCATCAATCAGCCTCTGCGTCTTCCATGTCTCGCTTCTTGTGCTGCTTCTTCTTCCATTACGTGCCACAACACGGCGAACATCCGAATATCCTGAAGCACTGTGATCTTATCAGTGCCCCACAACAAATGTCACCTGTAAAATGCACATCGATTGCTTCCAAAAACTCAGCTCTGGCAAGCTGAGTTTTTATCACTAGAACAGCGAATAGGATTTTAACTCGACAAATTGGCAGCGCTATCGTTGTACTAGTAAAATTCTGCAAAATTTTATCAGTTGGGCCTGAACTAGGTTATCAATGCCTTAGCCAATTTTTGTTATTTAAATCGAGCTTTTTTCTCGTTTTCTTGACATCCTGAGTAACGCGGAAGCAGAAAAGTTCATGTGTTGAAAAATTAGCACTCCGGATACATACGAAGTCTACGTTCTGAACCAGAATGAGGCATTGTTCACCCGCGCAACTGATTCCGGCTGCAAAATAAAGTGTACAATGGTGTGCTTTGATAAAATTGCATCTTTTAAATGTTTTTTCTATTCAAATTTTTGCTTGCATATTACCAGGAAAACAGTGATATCCCGATCGAATGCATGGTGGACTCTGGATATACATAGCTCAAGACCAAAGTCAATGACACGGCTTCCGGTTGAACGATTGGAGAACGTTCCGAATAT